AGTTCGATTTTTTCAAGTTATTTATAATTGACACGTAGGTATCATACATTCATTGTGAATTTTGAACTGGATAAACAATATTTTTGTTTTTCTTCAATACAGTCAGTTGTAGTCCGCTAGCGAGGCAATTTGTTTGTGTCAAGTGGATCAATACGGACGAATGCTTGTAGACAATGTCACATTCGTTATTGATTACGATTTGATAAAGTGACATACATACATTTGTTGTTTTGAAACCCAGTTAAAACGTACATGATAAATAAATTACGATATAAATCTTTTGGTAATTCATGGTATATCCCAGTAAATTCATTTTATTGTATCTTCATAAATGTTCGACAACAAAGTGAATGTAATTTTATTCACATAGTAAATAAATAAATCGCAGATTGATTTCTATAAACTTTTATCAAATTAAGACATCGTGTTCTGAATACCTAAGTAAATCCTTAAAACTTATTTATTTAATAAAGATCAGAAAAAGTAAGCCATCTGTAGGTGGGTACCTACTTTTTAAGTGAATTCAAAATTCAGGTTAAATTATTTAAAAATCTCAAGCGTAATCACGACTCTAATTCTAAGCAAATAGTACCTAGTAAGTTTAAATTTAAAATTATACTAAGTTCCCCTCACTAGCTGGCTTAATGAACGCTCTACTAGAATATCCAGCTACATTTGATCCACATATTATTAATAATGATGTTCTACTGAAGCTTGAGCCAAAATGTGGGGTCATTGATGTCGGCTACAACAACACGGCTACGAGCCTTATTAACAAAACGCTTTTGCTATAGGATAGTATCCTAAAAGAGATGCTTTCTGTCTGTAAACTATATTATCAAAAAAATTGGTTATGGTTATTAGTTATGGTGCGTTGAAGTTCCGCGTGACGTCACAAAGTGCTACACTTCTAAGCACTCCTTAACGTCACGGACTTTTCTTTGCAAAAGTCAAAGTTAAAATTCCTTTATTTGCTTGGACTATTAAGAAAGTGCTTACAAATCGTCAAATATTAAAATAAAAAAATAAAGACAAATAAAACTTTGGCGCGCTTTATTTCTTTCAATTTTCATTAGTTTGAAAAAGTGAAAAATACGTGTCGAGTGGTTTTTGATAAGTGAACTGACGGACTAATTCTTTCAAAGTCTTGCTTTTTTACCCACACTCACTAATATTTATTGCAAGGAACCATTTGTGATGCATTGCGATCTCCCGCTTACATAATGAAATACAACGGTTTGCATAATCGACAATTTATGCAGTGTAAACAACTGAATCGAATAAGCTAAAGAGATGATGGTACGTGATGAGACTTTTTAGTGATTTATATTTGAAATACCTACTATACTTTTGGAAATAATAAATATTCACTATTACCATTAGTCATCATGTGATTGAAAATATAGACACGAGGCAATGTAGAATACCTATTTTTATTCCTAAAAAAAAGTCTTTATCTTAAAAGGAATATGAAGACGTAAATTATGTAAAGTAAATACAATAAATAGACAACAAAATATCCCTCCCTCGAGTTAATTTGGGGGCAGGATATTTTTTACCTTATCGTTAACCAAACCACTTTGTTTTTGTTGATATTTTCCTCTGATAAAAGCCTGCGAGAGTGCAAGGTATTGCATTTGAGTCACGTATCCCCGGAGGGTAGTCGGTACCCACCCGAAAAACGTTGCAACGCGTGTTGCGTAACACTCATACCAATTGCCGTTTTCTTTTTCTGCTACTTTGGGTTAGTTTGTGGTAGAAAAACTGTTTGCTTGACTGACTGATAATATAAAAAGAGCTCAAGTAGGTATTGGTTGCTTTTATGAACGACATTTTTGAGCGTTATTATGATACGATAATTACACTGAAATGAAGAAATTATTGGCATCGATAAAAATGATTTCAAGACTTAAAGCCGTAGTAACCTAAGTTGACTTATGCGCGTTTTCACCACCAATCCCTAATTTTTAAGTGATCCCTATTGGACACGTAACAGGAATTTGGTTTACATAGGGGTCACTTAAAAATTAGGGATTGATGGTGAATATGGGCATGAGTCTAGTAGGTATACAGACCTTCCAAAGTCCAGGCTGAATGTACGCGTACACTGTAGAATGAAATAAAAATAACCATGCAAAAAGATGTCCGTAAAGGCATTTCGGTGACAAATCGTCAAACCCACGCGGATCCCTAGTAAGGGGAGGGTGGCAAATTGCATGTTATTTTTGGCCTTTTTATTTCTCAAGTATGGGACAGTCATCATCAATGCAAAATGCCACTCCAACCGGCCCTCCAATTATGAAGGGGTTAAAGTTAACAGCACTCTCTATATTACCAAACAAATATTTTTGCATAGTTGAATAAAATCAGTCAGATTTTTAAAACTTTTTTCCAGCAGTAGGTAACTAAGTTGATAGTAGATCTTACTATTAGTAGTTAAATTAAACGAATAACAAAGCTGTAATAAAGCTACTTATCCTCTCGTCAGTAAGCAAACTGACTCTCGGTATGTCAAAGACTATACGCATATTGTCATCCCAAAGATTTGCATATTTGCGATAGATGACGAATGTCTATTCATAGAATACCAGCATTCATGTTCTGAATGAAACATGATACAAGCTGAGTAGGAGCCATTTTGGTTCAATAAATTATGTATGTAATTTAAATTGTGTAAAACGTTTGTTTGAACCAAATAAACCATTTTTCTTTCTTTCTTTCTTTCATAGCAGAGAAGTTGCGACAGAAATAATCATATCAAACATACCTACTATCAAAAGTTCCTTACACGATCTCTGCAAGTCATATTACTGACGTGCGCATCGCTATCAAGGCAACAATATGTAAATAGCGTAACACAGTCTTCTGCTCAACAAATACACCCGCATAATGCCAAACTAATCTTGTCCGTCCCAACATCTTGTTACATGTATGCACAATATTATCCTCGGGTGAACGCGATGCCCTAAGAGAGGTGCCACACAAGCGTTGCAGCTGCGACGCGTTATCGCAACGCAATTATTTCAACGCAGTAACTGCCACACGAGCGAAACTTCGGCGCTGCGTCAACGCACCTATCGCTGATGTCGCAGCGTTGGTGTAGGATGTCTCAGTCTTTGAACGACAATGGAGTTGAATAAACGCGTTCTGTTGCTGCTATTATACGCAACAACTGTCACTGCGTTGCCGCTCGTTTCAACGCATCTCCCTTCCCCACCTCGTCGCCGTCTTCTCATTGTGCGTTGCGCGTGCGTTGCGTCGCCGTCCGTCATTTCAACGCATCGTGTGGCATATCGTTCAGTTTTATATGTAGAACGACGGAGCGTCACCGCTCAGTCGACGCACGGCACGCACCGCACAGACAACGCGCGTGTGGCATCTCTCTAAGAAAGCATTATGGCGATGCAGTGGTCTCACTCAAACGGCGTCTTGAGACACATGTATTGAGACCGTTTCTGCATGATACCGCAATAACAATACGAGCTCTAACGTCGTTGTCTGTGGAAATGCACAGATAACAACAGTTAAAAGAGAGTGGACAGTCCGATAGAGGGGTGGTTCAACTCAGCCCTATTTTTAGGGTTCTTTCGGACGCGAGCCGCTCATATAAATGTTGAAGCTTACATAAATAATGTACATGTTCTTTTAAAGCAATAAATGATTATGATTGATGACTAAAAAAACTAATATGTATTTGGAAAGACATTTTCATTTCGTGTAATTAAGTAAATTACCTTCCCTCTATATTTAAATAAGAGCATTTATACACATAATTTGAAGTAGGTAATGACTGGGATATTTGACGTTTTATTTGATAAGCCCTCGATAAATAAACGTTGGGTATGTATTCTACGAAATAACGAGGACCCTGACAATTACGCGCCTAAAGTGAAATTACCCTAAATTCTATTGAAGCTTTTAAACTTTTGTAAATACGTGCAAAAACTGGCAATAGGTATGTTTTTACCATATTTTGTACTTTTGTACATAATGATAGGATATGTCAAAATGACAAGTTTAAACCTGACGATTGAAAAATCTGCCCACATTATCTAAAAAAGTGAATTTATCTAACAGACGGCAGCTCACTACTCACCTACATTTTCGTCAAACATTATTTAAAATTCAATACATACGAGTATAGGTAAGTAAAGTGATACTTTGTAAATCAGGCTTGGACCAGCGCGTCGCCTCTTATTATTCAAATAAATTGAGGCATAAAATACTTACACGACGTTGTTGCATTTTGCTTATTCATACAAAAAGTGTGCTACTCTACGTGTTACTCTTTAATACGGGGGATAACTTTTAGGTTTTAAAATATGTATTGTTAATAGCATAACTTGATTCATGCGTGTAGTTTTTCATAAATACTACTTCAGAGTTTTGTTTGGGAGAAATATCCTAATGGGAAAGGTAGTATTTACAAAGTTGAAGATAAATAAATTGTTTATTTTGAATTGTAGGGTAACATATGTAAATTTAGCTTCGGTGTATAAAATAAACTGACTAAATGAAATAAACAGATCCTCTTTAATGAACAAAATGGTATTTTCAAAGCCAATTTGATACATCAGTCTTTTAAGTTTGCTCTATAAACGCATAACTTATAATTGTCATATTCAGTAAGAAGTATTTGAATCTTGCACAACCAGCCAAATTCAAGGAATCTTCCAAAACATTCTGATCCGCCGTAACCCAGTTCGGTATTACGTAACTCAAAAATATCCAAGAAAACCCGTGGTCGTTTGAAACTTAAAGAGCGCTCGCAGCCGAATGCAATCTTCGATTCGTCCAATTTCTATTTTTCGAGTGCGGGCCAGGGCGCTCGAGTTATTCTTTGGTTATTCGTCTTTTGTCTTATTTTATTATGCCGTTACTCGGTGCCGGCGATAAAGGCTAGCGAGACGGCTTGTCTGCCAGTTCTCAGTGTTCTCGCCCTTGTTTATCTGGCTGGGGTAGTTGAGCGGCGGAGTGCCGCCCCGCGGCAGTGCCTCCGCCGCCCGCCCAGCGATGGGACGCACGCCGCCCGCCCCGGCGAGTTTCACACCACGCGCGATCTCGCGGCACAGGTGAACCGTGACCGAACCTAATGTGAACGCGGCAAAATGACTCTTTTTCTACATTTATACTGTGTGATATGGATAGCGGTACTGCTGTGCTGCACCACGACAGGTGAGTTAATACAGCAATTAGCATTTTTATTGCGTTTGTCGGCAACTCGAACGAAAGTTTGTATTAAATTCGCATGCAGTTGCTTTTACGTTGACCAGGACAGGCTGTTTTATTGGAAAACGTAATTAAACACAAATATCCCGTAAGTTACGGATGCTTGTCCTTTTTATCGGTTTAATTTTATTTTAAATTGTAAAATACTCTTTCCGCTTTAAAAACCTACACAGTTTTCGTTAATTTAAGGATTAAAATTACAATATGTTGTTAACAATATCTTTGTTCCTAGTAAATAGATATACCTACGCTAATTTGTTTCTGCTAGTACACCCACCCGTGTATCGTTTGTTACTTAATTACCTAGCAACTTCGTTGAGATAATGCTATCAACTGACTAAAACAATAACCAATTTACTGATCAAGTTTAATCATACGTATTTTAGAAATACAATACATTTTAGATTCTAATAAATTTTGAGCAACGAATATTTTTTATTCTGCTTCTAAAAGGCGTGAAAAGTAAGTATTCAGTAGGTATACATTTTAATGTAATGCCTACAAAGTTTTCTAAGCTATAATTTTCCGCACCTCTTGACATAATGGTACCATAAAATATAAAACAATAAAATCGATCTAGAAATAGCTATTTACTAACCAAATGTGTTAATTTTAAATAGTTTTAGAATAATATATCTTTATATTTATCGATTTTACAACGGTTTTTATTTACTTGACACGTAAAATATGTTTTTAATGTATAAATTGTAATATTATGTTTTTGAAACGTTATAAATACTTACTATGTAAACACTTAATTTACTATTATATGTAGTTGACATCCGAAAAGAATCTGTAATGATAGTAGGATTTAATTATTCATTATATTATTAATGATTAATGAAACTACGGATGCTTTTATGAAGGTAAAATTTAGTATACGATAAGCTGAACGATAAAATTAACATTGTCACATGTAAAACACGGATTAAATGAAGTAATCGTCGGCGCTAATAAAACATAACACAGATGCAATCTTTACAAAGTTACTGTGTTAGTTTTAGCAAGATTGTAAACAAAGGCATCACGAAACTAAAAGTTCTTACACCCGCGCATTTAGCACTACAAAATGCTGGTTTTCTATATTCAATTATAATTCCAATCCGTCCATCAACTGTCAAATTTCAATATGTTTTTGGTCAAAATATCTGCAGTTTTCGATGGTTTTACATTTTCATATTGTTTAAGACTTTTTGAACAATATTAAAGTGTAAACGCATCGAAAATTGTGATTATTTATGTAAAACGGAATTCAATTTTACAGTTGAAATCCGGATTTGAATAAGGATTGAATATATGGGAAACGGGCGTAAGTTGTTCATAAGACCAAAAAAATAATCAGTTCCTATATACCTAATTCTAATGTTTGTATCCTCATAAGTGTTACGTACATGCTTTAGATGCTATATTAGACTTAAGATCAAACGAAATCACGGGCGTCCACTAGTTACAACATAGACAATTGACAAAGCTCAAAATACAAACAAATGCGTAAAAGTTGTAATCCAAGAAATAAAATGAAAATAAATAAAGTTCATTCAACACTCACTCGGTGGACCGACGATCTAGAGACACCATAATGCGGGCAGCGCAGGACCGGCAATTGTCCAGTTGTCCAATCCTTGAGACAGTCATTATTCAGCAACATCTTTTAGCTGAAACAACGGCGACAACACAGTATTAAATGCACCTAACTATAGATATAAAATAAATGGTTTTGTCTCAAAAGGACCTAAAGAGAGAGCTAAGACGATGGTTTTCATTCGACACCTCTAGGGCACAAGCTCTACTACATGTCACACGGTTGTTTTTGCCTGCCTCCGCCTCACACCTCACTCTAAGCCCGCTTGCATGGATGCACACTTAGAGGCACAAACTCAACGTGCAAATTGAGTCGCGTTTATACTGCCTTAGCAAATTTAGGGTAGCTGTTGGGTTTCTGGGTATTTCGTCGTTCTGACGCGCAGGAAAAGTGTTGCGTATTTTAAATTACATGACCTAATGGGCTCTTACCTTATATTAACTAGGTAATTAGGCTCGGGTGTGTTTTTTTTTAAGTATAAAGGACTTTCATTAACTTGAAATAACCTCATGTTATTTACCTAACCTAAAAAGGCTAGTCTTGCTAAGGATTGCATATAACACTACACTGTCCTGCCCTGTCCTTGTTTTTTTATGTCTTCTGCTATTTGGTCATAAGGATGATTATAATATTATACCAGAGGCTGAGACACTATTTCTTAATTTATTTACAAGCATGTAGCATAAAACAGGCTTGTAAAGCACAAATACAAATAACATTACGAGAACAGGGAAAACACAAGTCAACAATGCTAAAACCATCGGCTTCCAGGATAAAAAACATACGTAAAGAGAGGCAACTCGAAGATTTATTTCAAGGGCGGAAAATGAGGAGCACTCGTACTCTTACAACATAATTCGATTAACAAGGGAGGGAGATGGCCCACGATACGCCGGAATAACAAAATAAGGGTATTACAAAATAAGGGTATTAAGAAAAAATAAAAATTTATGGTATAGAGGAGAATTGCCTTGAAAGCGGTAGGAACCAGGTTCGACTCAAAACACGACAAGTGGTCTTTTACGCCCGTATTCACAAACATTACTCAGTGTGCGTGGACGCACAGGGTTACACCACACACGAACCAATTACAGAGCTCTATTCAACGTTGTGCGTTCGATTTGCTGCTTCACTTAAGCAAACATCGTTTGTGAATACGGGCGACAGACCTCTATTCAACGCTGTGCGTTCGATTTCTGCTTCACTTAAGCAAGAATCGTTTGTAAATACGGGTGTTAGGCCCGCAGACTGAAGCCAACAAAACACAATTCAACTTCAAGCAAATTAAGAAGTCTGTTGAATTCAAATATTTAGACCAATCACAGACTTTCATTGTTTTCCAGTAAATCTAGACCTACTTGAGTATCATAAACAAAAGGAACAATCACAAAAAGTAATTCCATTAACTTTAGTAAGTAAATATTTCTTAAGCCAAGATAAACTGTATTGTATTAATTAAATTATCTCATAACAAAATGTCTGAATAGATTATCACGATGTAAGAATTTCTTGGATATTTTTTACTCGAATTTTACCTATCATTTGGTTTGATATATCCCGTAATTACAGTTTAATTCTGATAGCAATAAATCAGGCGGGAAACAACTTACTGATTTCTTTTAAAAAAGATCATACAAAAAAACGAATTCTTTGTTGCTCACGATAAACGCTACAACAAAAATATTCCAACAAGAAATAAACTGTCGCACCCAATTGAGTCGCATGACGTCATCCCATTAATGCTTGCAAGCGCCTCAAGCATCTCAGATTCATCCAAGGGGTCGTTCTTGTATTCCATAATTCAGTTAGCTGTAGGGAAAGAATCGCAAACAACGCGGGGTGACCCCTAGCTTGACGCGCCGACGGACGTCCGCTCCCGTCGCAACTGACAGTTATCGATGTATTCTGCCCCCGCAATAAATATAATTGAGATGAGTTATGACAAAATACGCATGAATAATACCGTTTTGCCCGGATTTTACGCTGGCATCTGCAACATTTTGAGGATATTGGAAGTGAGGTAAAATGGTTATATTATTCTATCAAATCGAACACACAGCTTACGTGCTACTTTGACATAGTTCATACCTAATTATTATGGAATAAGACTATTCTTGCAAAATATTCAGTTACATGAGTTTTACTTACATTACTAATTTACTTTCACTATTAATAAGTTTATATCTTAAGACCAGAACTGATTTTAGACATACCAACCTACTCGTTTCGCCCACTGAAAACCAGCGGCGTCGTGGCCTTCCCCACCGTGGGCCACGGCATATGCTGAGTGGAGTCCCATTGCGATGGGCATCGCTGTTGCGACATAATAGCACTGCTTAGTTCACTTTTTATTTCCTTGTAATATTTATGTGCTATTTCTGTCTTTTTTTCTATATACGTTCTCTGTCCTTTACTAAGTGATGTTTATTAATTATCCTGCTTTCGCCTCCGAGATTTATTTTACCGTGTAGTACCCCTGTACGACAAGCCAATCCGCACACAATATTCAGCGCAGTAGTAGTAAAAAACAAAAGAGCGGGCAACCCCACCCCTACCACGCTGTGGGCTCGGTGTCCGAGCGGTCTCATTCCTTTGTGCGCACGCGCAACGACCGCACGCAGTATAAGAAAAATGCTTAAGTGACGTCACCAGGACGTTTTTACCGACAAAAAACGTAATTATTTTAAGTTGTGCAGTGTAGTGACGAGAATTAGACCCAACACAAGGTTGGTTGTAACAACTATTTTGTGTAAGTGCTCGTACATTTTTATTATAAGCGTTGTGACACGACGCGTAACTTTGACCCATTTTTAGCTCCAAGTTAACGCGCGATGTTAACCAGTAGCCATTTTTTCAGGATAATTCAGATCGAACTTCACTTGGTAAGTTCGTTTGATCATCTAAATATTATACATATTTGAAGGATAATTAATTTCCTTTAATTAATTTCGTAAAAGCATTTCTTTTGTTCCAAAAACAGAACAATACGCTCGACACTCGTCAGTGCCATTTATATATCATTAACAAGAAATTAATTGTAATTATTACGAAGGACACTTAGAATTAAAGATAATTAAAAGATAGAAGCTTTTACTTCGAAACCCTTAATGAGAATTGTAAAACGATTAATTACTGTGAGACTCGTTTTTTTATTAAAATTATTTCTAATGCCTTATATTTTGGTAATAATAGTGAACACCTACAGATTTCGAAGGAATAAACGATAATTACTTAAAAATTAACTAAACAATACTTTTACTAGGCAATGTTTTTTTAAACTTCCTTGGGCACATCTTTTGGTAGTATTATACAGGGTGTTGATTTCAATACTCGCCATATTTATTTAGGTGATATATTATGACTTACATAAACGTATTATCCACCAAAAAATAAATTACAAACGAAAGTGGAATTTTTAGCGAATATTTTCCGTGCAACATCAACTGTACTATGGCTCGCAATAATGCAATATACGTTTACTGTGGCACGGGCACCCATCGAGCTACGCGGATCGCTCGCTTATCATGTTGGATAGTCTACTGAAGGATACGTAAAGTTGGTAGTGTAAATAGGTATTTTTCTTTGACTAACTAAAGTTAAAGTTCGTTTTAAATTAGTTTGCTGTTTCCTATGTGTGTGTGAGTGTATTGGAGCGCTTTCCGCCACTACCTACCGCGACGGCGGGAGTATTTTCTACACAAAATTACCAGATTATTCACTTCCTACATTAAAAAGGAATGTCCTTTAAGTTTAGAGTTAGGTACTTACCGATGCGACTTCAGATGCGTTTCCACGTGCCCTCCCGTAACAGTAAACCATGTTTACGTATCTACTCACGAGCACTGTACGTATGGTTAGGCATATTCCTAACACTCACTCACTATTACCACACTCACTATCACACGTTCACACACTAACTACTCAAAACCGCACGAGAAAACAATCAAAAATCGCAAATTTGCACATTCGATGACCGAAGATCTTTGTTAACTAAAGATCCGTCCTATCATAATTAATGCTCTTATAGCAAGCTTCCAAAATACTCAAATGCAAATGATTTGTAGTAGCTCAATCGTTATTATTAAAACGATAAGAATATCAATACATTTTGATAGTTATTTCGTGTAAGTAATGAAATTAAGTTCATTTAAAATAATCACGAACATGATGATGAATTATTTTATGTAAGTTATGAAGAATGGAAGTTTAACCTGAACCTAACTAACAGCCTAACAGTCGTTCAACCTGTATGAAAGAGCATTATTGTCATCTGTTTACAGTACTTTTGAATGATAAGTAGGTACAAGCTTATCACACACATAAAAGCATGGTTTAATTTAAAAAAAAATGTAGCTTCTGTAAAAATTTTTATTTTTCGGAAGGAAGCAAATTCGTGTAAAAGGTTTTTTTATTAAAGACCTACTTAATTAATTAGTTTCTAGAACACAAAATAAACTCGTAACGTGATAAGGTGTAAGTAACTAATTTACTCATTACATTTTTAGGGTAGATTTGGATTAAGCTCCGTCCAGTAGTCGTCGTTGAACTCACAGCTGATTGTGGCTGATAGTTGACTGACTCATGGGCGAGCGCGGGTAGTGGGGCGCGGGACGGGGGGCGCAGCGTTTGCCCGGGTCACCGGGTGAGCGCCGCGCGCCGTTTGCGTTGGGGGACTATTCTGCACTGTAGTGGTCGATTATGGAAATCGTAGATATTTAAAATATAATTAAAAAAAAATTTGAAGTCAGTTTTTTTGCTGATTCGTGATCAGAATAAGCTACTTAATCAACTCCCTAAATATGGCGGGTATTGAAATCAACACCCTGTATAGTAGTATATCTACTTTGTCTATTCTGTGTATATTTAATTTATTAAAACACGCAGGATAATCGAGGTAAATTATATCAGATGACTATGGGATCAATGCTATACTGGAAAATAATGTTACATTCTACCTTAGCTCATACCTATTACATGCCCAGAGGTACGAAAACGACCCAATGTTCTCTTGCGATGCCTATAAAAGAAACTGTAAATATGCTAAATTAAATGCTAACAAAAATCTGAGACCTAAAGTTCTGGGCATATATGGGTTAATAGGGTTGTAAGCTAAGCTATTTTTAGTACGTTAATTACATCATCAGAACACAAAATTAATTTACAAGCGATAGGGAAACAATGTAATTACTGTCTGAATAAAGTACAGACAAATGGACATAAAATTCTCTCCAATTAAGTTAAAATGTATCGTTTTATTTTGGAGGAGATTAAACCAAGTTGTGGAACTAAGTAAATTGCCCGCTATCCCGCGTCACGTAAAACAAAAAAAGAACTTTCCTAAATTGGTTTTAAGGCTCTGAAACTTTTTTCATAAATCAGATCCCCGTAATAGCAGGGCGTGTCTTTAAATTATTTAAATTATCCTCGCCTAATTTAATATTTTTTGCTCTGTACATTTCTATTCCCGAGAAAAAATTTACGTTCTTTCGTCTCAGTATCAATGACTACTTAAAGTTTGCGTACAGTAAAAGAAGTCGTAAGAAATCGAACGGCGCGACGTCTAGACGTCTTTTATGAAACGTATTTAATTGTTCGACTACAGGCATTAACATTTTATAACGAACATGCCATTAAAGTCGATTATCGTCGATAACTATATCGATTTTGCGGTTAACACGCTTGATCACTGCTCAACGAATGAAAGGAGGAAAGGCTTGGGTTATGGTGGAATCCAATCCACTTATGGCGAAGTTGGCAATCGGACTGGAAGCGGCTTGTTTACCCTCGCAATGACCCCATGTCAACGAAGCTTGAGAAGTTGTGAGCATCCCTTCACAGGGAACTACGAAACTAAACATTCCTTGTTATTGGAGTCAACAACTAAATAAATATTTGAGATCCGTGGAAGCTCCTTTTTCATGGAACGAATGTGGAACGTATTTTTTATGCTGCTATGGTATTAGTATATTTATTATTTAACATCATATTAATTTCACTCTGGACATTCAAAATTCAGTTCAAATCCAGAAATAATTTCCGACAATTAATTATGATGCTCATTATTGCTCATTTCTATATCATTTTTGATTGTTGATTACAGGTATGATAGGTATAATTTTATTGCAATTTTAATTAATAGGTACCTAACTGAATATTTTACAAAAAATCAAGAAATGGAACCCTAAAACTTTTACTAAATATTTTAATTTAAAACAATCGTATATCTTTTAACAAATGACTATCGCCTTAATAACGCTCAAAGACGTGAGCTAAACATTAAAACTTCAACGCCGTATCCACAGAGCAGAGTCGAGGGCGTGAATTATTCTTAAATCCGTGCCGATAATGGAACAATCCTGTCGCGCAGGGCGCTGTCATCGCTAGGCTTAATGGCGCACTCCCAGCAAAAACCTATCCTAGTTAATGTACCGGAGAGATGACAGGGACAATTAATGTGTTGTGTGTTGTGCACTCGCTTTACATTAACGCTATTAATACAGCTCTTCAGTTAAGTTTTTATTTCCCCCGTGAGCGGCGGAGTGCGCCACGGAAATGAAAATGCAAGTTTAGGTTGCATGTTTTATGCAAAAGCCAATGGGCATTGAAATGAAGTTAGGTGTTCCGTGATCAAATATGGAGCAGTCGATTTCAGGGGCCTTTTCGAATATATTGACTGGCTTCACTTGTAGGTTAAATGCGTTTGCTAAATAGGAAACGCATTATTTAGGTCGCATTAATTAATTAAACGCATTAATTATTTGTACATCTGTTTTGTATCATTTGGCCAGATGAATATATTATGTAATATTAAAATCGTATAAAAGTCATTGCCGTTAAAATTCTTGAAAGTATATGTGACATACCCTTAGATTAATAAAACCTAGATAGATAGTCAGTGCACGAGAGGTGAGGCAGTTTTTAGGGAGCCGGCACGGCTTACCCGTAAACGTCACATGAACTGTCAAAGTGAAAAATTGGTAAACACGTCCGACGAATTTTAATTAATTAAAACGGTTTGTGCTGTGAAAGGGTGTCTAAAATATGTACATCAGAAAAACAAAAGAAAGTGACCAGTGTTACATTTCATAATTAAGTACTACGATTCGACGCGTATTTTGCTTGAATTTGGCTTTCATAAATTAAATACGGGAATGATACCAGTAACAAGAAAATTTATTTCCCAATTGTTCGCCGTACATATACACTTCCTTTTTTATGAAATCGAGACTTTTAAGTCGATTTATCTTATTGTTATTAGGTAGGTACTTTGAATTCAATAAATAAGTAAGTACATGATGCGTTTTGTTTTTGTCTACACTAATATTATAAAGAGGAAACCTTTGTTTGTTTGTTTGGTTGTAATGAATAGGCTCAAAAACTACTGGACCGTTTTTAAAAATTCTTTCACCATTCGAAAGCTACATTATCTACGAGTAACATAGGCTAAATTTTATTTTGGAAAAACATAGGGTTCAGGGGTCCACGCGCGCGAAGCCGCAGGCGGAAAGCTAGTTAATTATAAAATTATTAAAAACGTATTAAAAATTTCCCTACTTTCGGGAAAATCGCCTTCACTGTCTACACTCCCCAACAAAATTGACACTAATGACATAAGATTTTTGCCTCACTCTTGACGAAGCGTTTGTATGAAGACTATCCATCTAGGTTTTATTAATCTAAGGACATACCTAACCTATTCCAAATTGAATTTAAATCGTTCAAACTTTTTTTCTTATTAGAATAAACCACAAAATTATCCTCCTCATCATTTATCATGAAATTGGCATTTTCACTTAATGATAAATACATAATATTCCTGTCTTTTGTAAAGCCAATTAATGAGCAAACATTTTGTTAATTTGTTGCAGGCCGGGAATTACCCACTGGACAAAATGTAGTGTCCGTAGCACCTATAGAAGTTCCAGACGGTAAGTTCTTTGGTAATTACTAGTAATAATAAATCTTTAATTATCTCTGGGAAGGTTCAAATCTAATTCAAATTATGATTAGTAAGTTAAAAATTGTTATTTAAGATTTACCTACGCCTCATGACGAAAATCTTCTTACATAACATGGTTTCTAGTTGTGCATTATTTACTGCACTTGATGACTTTGTGTCAAAAACACTTTTTTCTTGTGTTTGTGTTTTATTTTCATTTCATTTGGTGTAAGATCTGCTGTTGAAAACTGGTGTTTTATCTAAAAAATACTCATATTATTATGATGAAGTAGTTCGTAAATTGGAGTGCAATTCTATGTTTATCATAATGGCATAATCATGCTAAAAATGTTAAGCAATCTAGTTGCTTTACCAAGCTGTTAGTTTAACATAGCAATAAAGTTAATTTGCAAGCAATTGACCATTGCTGCGATAACCATCAGTATTAATTTACTGACTTACGATCCTTTTGAGCTCTAGAAATTTGCATCGAATTGACCGTGTTGCGCAATACATCGTTAACGTGCGTAAATAGGTTATGTTGGTCACAGTGCAAGTAAATAAAAGTAGGCTCATAATGTTCCATAGGGACAATAGGGCTAATAAAATTTTCAGGCAGCGCACAATCCTTATGAACGAAACATGAGGAAGGTCATCATCATCATTTCAGCCATAGGACGTCCACTGCTGAACATAGGCCTACCCCAATGCTTTCCATGTTGTACGATTGGTAGCGGCCTGCGTCCAGCGCTTCCCTGCAACCTTTACGATGTTGTCGGTCCACCTTGTATGAGGAAGGTACATGGGCGTAAATTTTCCGGGGGATAGCCTTTCTCTGGAGGTTCCCTGGCCCTAGCATATATTTTAACCTAATTGTGCACTAAATGATATATACCTCATTAGAATAGATTTTAATCATAAATCGAGCAATTCTCAAAAACCTGATGAAATCGGATTAATTGTTTGAAATCTACGAAACTTATTACTGATGGTATCCCTAACGATTAGCAGGAATTTTCTCTTTAACAAACCAACCTACTGAATGTATCTACATTAGTGTCAGGTATTCGATCAATTGACCATCTTGAAAGCAGCCGCACACTACTAAATGTCACTTTGTGAGAAATTCCTTTGGCACTAACGAGAGATTCACTGCTAATGTGTCGGGAAATACGGGATTTATCGCAAATAGATTTAATCGCGTCTTAGAACTTCCTTCCACGAGTTACCTATGAATCCGTTTACCTTGTCTAAAAATAAATATATTGTCCTGTCCTCTTGGTACTTTTGTAGATATTGATAATGTTTTTGGTTAGTCCATGTCAATAAGTACTCGTATTTAAAAATGTGAGGAAAATTGGAAATAGGTATATTATAATAATTTAACTTTTAATCATTTATTATTACTTGTAGCGGCTGTATTGAAAACCAAAAATTCAATTAATTATACATCTGACATATAAGGTTTTCATTTGAATAGATAACAATCTCAATGGGGTGGCACTATGTATAGCTTTAACATACAAAAAGGATATCTAATGTATACAGGGTGACTTTGCAATCAGTATCCAAATTTTTAGGAGCGACTCAGAATCACTCAACTATAGAGCTTATTAAAAAAAATTGGATACCTACTGATTACAAAATCACCCTGTATGTATAGGTAGATAATATATTAAAGTAGGTAGGCACCAAAAGTAGAGAACGACAAATTAAATAGGTCATTACAGTGACAGAATGACCTGCATAATAACTATCCGACTGCGGTGAACCACGTGGCATTAACATTGAATGCACCTAGTAGAATTCGTTGTATTTTAACGTGCGATGTGGTGGACGTCATTAATTTTATCGTTTCGGTTTTCAGTCAAAAAGTCCAGATAAATTAAGTATTAAATAGTTTTACAGGTAATAGATTCGTAACGAATGACCTTCCTCTTCACTTTATACTGAAAATTGCATTAAAATCCTAAATTAAATTATGATTTTGGAGTAAATATATTTAATTATTTTAATAAGATTTATGCAAACAGACAGCGGCAGTGACTTCGTTTTATACCATGTTTATTTATTCATTTATTGCTATCAAATACATAGTTCACTAATAAACTTAAAACTAGGTAACTTAGATACTATGCACACCCAGTTGGGTAACACACGAACAGCCAAACCTGTAATAATTTAAATAATTATTGCAAAAACACTATGAGTAGAAGTAGAATCTTATTAATTAAGCAACTCTTCCTTTAAAGAGAAAAAGCATAAAACAAACCTGCGCTATCGTTCTTCAGATAATTATCTACTCAGTAAAATTAAATTTTGCACAGTGTTCCTGAAAATATTTCGAAAATTTATTTCTTGATAGTTGCTATTGCAGAGCTAAGATTTTTCAGAAGGTTAGTTTAATAACTAGTAACTAGATAAAATTATTTTAAGTTAATAATATCGCAACTTGCTGGCTTATTTTTTATCTCTTGGTTGACTGGAAGAGATGGCTTTATAGCGAAAAGACCGCCTATATTTTGCCGTATTTTTTATGTTTCTTTCATTTTCTTTTCTTTTTTTGTGTGATGTGCAATAAAATTCTATCTATCTATTAGTAGTTGCTTTCAGTCTGCTTCTACAACTGTATTTAGGTATTTTGTCACCGAAGTGACTCTTCACAAAAATAAGACATATACTGTTTGTTATTGGGGACCACGCATTAATCATGCCTATAGTTTCGCCGACGTCAGACGCGGTGGCACCAAGGACTTGGCCTCAAGTGAGCGTCGAAGTAACGTAACCTAAGTATACTATATTAATAAAACAGAAGAGTTTAAGTACTTGCTTCCGTTGAGGTCTCAAACTACTGTTTCGAATTCAAAAATTACTTTTGTGTTCGATGGATGGATTTATAAATAAATAATAAATAAATAAAAAATCGTTTATTGCTTGCTTTACTAAAAAGGAATTACAAAAAAAACTTATATTAAAAAGGTGGAAGCAATTGGAGGTGGCTCAGCTTGTGCTGCCAAGGACTACTGCTGGTTTTCAGCCATCCCCACTTCTCTTGAGGTGTTGATCGAGAAGAATGGTTACGGGGGCTTAGAAATTACGAGTAAAAGGAAAAACAAGTAACAGTAATATGTATCAAGGATGTATAGAAGCAGAGTCTCAATTAAAATATTGCAAAAACGGGAAACATTATTCAAACAATTTTCACACTAAGTCGCAGGCACAGCTAGGTGCCTCGTCACACCTCTACAAAATTCAGCTTTATTCCTACTGGAGTGTCTCTTCGAAGAAATTCTGTAGGTGTGGTGAACATGTGTGTATGTCAATTTGTATAATATATTCTCTGAAACAGTGAATGATATGTAATTCTGCAAATTGTGTTACTTATTGTGTAAAGATCATGTTCCATAAGTCACTTTTAAATCTCTGGCTGTACATAATTCTAACGAATTGGGGCTTAGTTGTATATTTTCTAAACTGGAATTAAAAGAATGAAAAAAAAATATATTTATTTGGTACCAAAAATAGACCGATACAAATCAACATAGAGCAAAAAAAGAATTAGTTACCAAATTGTCTCTGGGACCATATAATCAGATTATTTCTTAATTGATATTCGATACTTGTTTTAACAGGATAAAATTATTGAATGTAATACCAAAAGCAAAAAATCATCCACTTTAAGCTTATTTCGATAGTATAATTATGCCACCGTCAATTCATTATTGTTATTCAGTTATATTTAATATTAATTGAATAAACAAACGCGGATAGTGAAGCCCCGTCTTTAGCATACGTAACAACGTGATGTTTGTGACTTTCCGTGGTTCAGTCCGATCGATCTAAAAGTTTTAGTCTAGCAAACAACTTTATTGCCGGTCTTAAAAACAAGCTATTTTTTGTTCCAGAAACAATGTATCCGAGATTCGCGGAGCCAATACCGAACGTCACAGTGACGATAGGTAGAGACGCGTTGTTAGCGTGCGTCGTCGAAAATTTGAGAGGATTTAAGGTAATATCTTGTGATAAGTCTTCCGAGTACATTCTTATCCTTAAGACATGTTTAAGTTGGCATTGTGCTGGTGTTTGTTTGTACGAGACTTAGAGAGGCCTATTGTTCGCGCATGCCAAATCTGCTATAGATAAATCTTTTGTTTTAGGTGGCCTGGGTGAGGATGGATACTCAGACAATACTGAGTATCCACCACAACATAATAACGCAGAATCCCCGGATAAGCCTTTCGTATAATGACCACCGGTCCTGGTACCTCCATATAAAGGACGTGCAGGAGGTTGATCGCGGCTGGTACATGTGCCAGGTCAATACCGACCCGATGCGGTCAAGAAAAGGATACTTGCAAGTTGTAGGTGAGTTTTGATTTATGGTTGAATAGGTATAGCATAAACTTGCTTATTAACTATGTAAGATAAATAACAAGTGATGGCTAATTTACATTTCATGTGACCTAGTATTAGACCTAGTAGTGAATTGTCTAGAATATTATTATTTGGTTTAGGGCCGATTTTTCAATCGTCAGATATCTTTTAACTGAAGAATAACCTTGTCATTTTGACACATTTCCCATACTAAAACTGTCAATGTGCCAAACTTATTCTTCAGTTAAAAAATATCCGACGAATGAAAAATCAGCCCCTAATCAATAGCGCTAAAATATTCAAAATAACTGATAAATTATTTTAAGGCAAGGAATGTCTTAGTTTGAGCACAGGTAATATAATTTGAGGATAGTAAAATATTTTAAACCCTTCAGTTTTAAGATAAATTACACCAAATTTTTAACATTAATTAATCAATCAATCGTTATTGATAAAGCGTTATAATTAGTTAAACCGAAGTCAAAAACAATTCGAACATCGTTCCATATCTAAAGAACTTACCACCAAACCAAAACCATTGCACCACCCTCGAATATAGTTCCGGTAACAAGTTAATAACATGTTTATTGGGTCGTGCAGTGCCACCATCAATCATCGACAACATGACGTCGACCGACATGGTGGTGCGCGAGGGCTCCGATGTGACCTTGGTGTGTCGCGCTTCCGGGTACCCGGAGCCCTACGTTATGTGGCGGCGCGAGGACGGGCAAGACTTCAACTACAATGGAGAACAAGGTATTTATGGGAATATTGTTTTTTGTAAACGCACTCATTGTCATTAGAAAGAAAGAAATAAAAAGAAAATATATTTATTCAGTATCACGTACACATAGTTTACAAAAATTTAAAAAATAAAGATACTGAAAAGGTGGGGCCGGGCGAGTGTCGTAGCATCTCAGGAATGCTACGACGCTGGTCTTCATTACGCTATACCTATCGTGCTCTATCACATAGGTACGCACTATGTATATTTGAGACTACATAACACTATCACATAACACAAATGAAGTCTTACTAGTCGATTAGAAAAACTTTAATTAACTAATGCGATGGAAGTGATTATTTTGCGGAACGCATATCGTATGGACTGAAAGGGAATTGAATTATTTTCCAGCGTCTGTCTTACCGCTTCAGCACAACAGAACTTATTAATATTATAGTTTTATAAGGAAAAGGTTTCATCATCACACAAAAACTTTATTTTAAACATTACTTGGTTATTTTAACGATTTCGTTTCAGCGAACGTACCATTTTATTTGTTACAAAATCCAACGAGCAAACAGCGGGATTCCCGTAAATGCAAACAAATAACCACCGAAATGTGGAGGGGCCTCCGGAAATTATCAGTCGCGCGAAATTCCGGTTAATGTTTAGTAATGCTAGTGTTTATATCAGACTGAGCTGAATCCTAACCATGCAAATATTGCCCAATTTTACCCACAATTATTTTCGTTTAATCCCCAGTTTTTGATCCGTAGTTAAAATAACCAATTAAGGTACAAACATCTTGGCCTAAGTTACAACGATATTTATAATGGAATCTCTCATGGGACATAATTCTAGAATTTTATCTGCTATCGAAATGAGAGCATTTTAACGTAAGTACTTAGTTTAATGTTTGCGAGTTCCTACAGAATGTTAATATTACTTGCACTATTCGGTACAAGCGCTCTAAGCCTCTAACTGTCGCCATCTTTTACCACTGCACACAATATAAACACTCAGGGCGCCTCAAAACTTTAAAGTAACGACATTACCTGATCAATTCTGTTCTGTCAGTGTGGTCATCCGATTGATAGTCATCATTGACTCGGAGTAATCAAACGTAGCTGTGGTGAAACCTGGCGATCGAATAGAGTGATATCATTGTCACTCACTCACGATTCCGTCAAAGCGCTCTGTACCTCTAGTAGGAAAAACTTTCGAGTTCGTTTCGTTGCGTATTCAAAGTGTCATCGAAAAATTTTGTATGAAAAATTAAACAGCGCCCCCTATATTATAGCCGCCCTAGGGGGCGCTGTTTAATTTTTCATATAAAATTTTTCGATGACACTTTGAATACGCAAACGAAACGAACTCGAAAGTTTTTCGTACTAGAGGTACTGATTTAGCATACTGCCAGATGTCGCATCTGTTCGCTGTGAAAACTCTAATAGCACGAGTGCATTACTAACTTAAAACAGAATTTATGAAAAAAAAATTAAAAAATATAGCATTAAAAAAATTACTTATACTAAATACTACCTAACTATTCTGCTCTACCTTAACGGGATGCACCCTGGTTTTTAGGTGTCAATAAGTACTTACCTATTAATTCAAATAATTGGGAGATAAATATAGTTACTTCAGAAATATATCGTCCTTTCTTAACTTAATTTTGTGTCTACGGGTACAGAATAATAATAAGTATAGATCTACGGATCTACCTACCTTTCAAGCATAATTTTTAAATACCTACTTACTTGAAAATATTGAATTGCCTAAGGTGGGAATCGAACCCTGGTTGATCCCAAATAGTTTAACACAATTTATTCCACAAACTTTTACAGACACTCGTTTACGTTCAAAGTTTTTATTTCAGATCTTTTGTAATGGTATTGTTTTTGTCTGAACAGTGAGCGTCGTGGACGGGGAAACTCTGACCATAACCAAGGTCTCCCGACTGCACATGGGAGCGTACCTCTGCATCGCGTCCAATGGGGTTCCCCCTTCCATCAGTAAACGGATCATGCTGATGGTGCAATGTAAGTACATCAAAACCAGCAAAGAAATCTGAATTTTAGGAAGTTTCAAAATCCATGCCTAGAGAAGTATTTTTAAAACATCATTGCGTAGGTACTTACCTACGTATTCTACAACCTTCTTAATTAGCCCCTCGTGGTAAGCTAATTGTGCTTTTATTACAAGTGGGCTCACCCCACCACTGTTTGGTAACTCATGTGACTTTTACTTGTGAAAAAATATCTAATATCACAGTTAATTGAAAGCTAATCGAGTTTATAGGTCTAAAGTAAATTGTTTTTAGATAATTAGTCCCTTACAATTATTGGTTTTAATTACGCAATTAATATTTTCTCAACCCACACAAGAAAAAATATGTACTTACCGATCCATTATAAATATTTGTCCTAGAAAGATAATAACAATGAAAATATGGTTTCAAATTGTTTACTGCCTGCGTAGGTAGACTTGTAATTAATACCAAGTATTAATAGGGCTATTACAGATGATACGCGAGCAGAGGGGAATATCCAAGCATTGCTATATTGCAAGGGGAATTTGATCAATGCCAAAGATTTGATTCAAAGGAAAAGAGGCACTCTATTGTCTCCCACGGTAGTCAATGTAGTTGAAAAAGTAAAAACTTTTACTTTAAACGCCTTAGTTTCAATTACGACTCTACAACTGAGCTTTGAGTATCGAATGACTGAGAGTTTACCCTATCAGACAAATACCTGCTACCTGGAAAAATGGCACAATAAGCTAAAGACAGTGACGTCTTATTTCGTTGTGATACAGGATGTTTTGCAAGGTGCTGTTCTCCGTACAAAATAAACTTCTAAAACAACAAAAATTGACAAACGTGCGAACCAATATTTGCAAATGGGTTTTACAAAATGAATTTGGGTCTATTACTAGTGGATATGCGAAAACACAGCTAGCATGCAAAATCGTAGGCAAACGCGAAACCCAGGGCAGTTCAATCGCGTATTCATCACAGTAATCTGCGCGATCCGAATAATAAAATGCTCTGTGTATACTCGTAAACGTGTATACTATGCACTATTTAGTAAATGAGAAGACTAGTCATAATACCTAAAGCCTTACTATCTGTATTTTGTAAATTATGTTTCCAGCTTCAGCGTCGAATGAAGTTGTCACATAATTGGTATCGAACTTAACTTTTATTTATTGTCCCGAAGCAGTGGCAGGGTTAATAATGGGACGTGTAAAGCGCTTTTTAAAAGTCTATTTGCAGACATTAAATGACTTCTATGACTTTACTTTTTATGAGTTTGGTCTTTGTATCATTGGTCTTTGTAATTACTATGCTAGCTAAAATATCAGCTTTTGAAAGTAATAGACATTTATTAAGTTAGGGTTTCCTTGAATTTTCGCAATATTATGTAATTTTTGTCGCAGTTCCACCGATGCTGTCCATTCCAAACCAGTTGGAAGGTGCGTACATCGGGCAAGACGTCACTCTGGAGTGTCACACGGAGGCATTCCCCTCGTCCATCAACTACTGGACCACAGATAAAGGAGACATGATCATTTCCGGTGAGATTTTAAATAGAATAATTCTTTAGTATGTAGGTAATTCCTTATTAAGGCAAGAGTGAGGCAGATATGTACCATCCTAGACTGCATCTCACTTATCACCAGGAACGATTGCGGTCAAATACCTGCCTTGTTATGCATTAAAAAAAATTGGATTCTTTTGTCTAGCATTCATTTTTCACTTGAAAATACAAAAATATCTCTGGTAGTGTCAAATTTTAATAGGTTTAACCAATATTTCCACTATTCAGAAGTCAAACAGCGAAAAGCCGTAAGTTCAAGTGTTAGTCGCTTTTTAAGTCGAAGATCATATTTTGATCAATAAACCTTACACGTGTATTAATTACCGCTGCTAGGACTCATATTAGCCTACTCAATTATATGTAGTAATAACACCTTTTTAATTAACACCCATACTTATAAAGGTAATGTGGGTCTTTAAAACTACATAACTACTAACAAAGAGGCCTTTTATTATGAAAAAAACTTTACACCTAAAAATTTTCTGTATTGTAAAAACAACAGAATACATTAAAATGTTCCATCACACAAATTGAAGCACATCCTGTAATTGGTCTAGGAAACTTAATCAGCGCTGGAGTAAACTGCTGATTGCATTTACATTCAGATGCATTTGGAAAATATTTAAAATCCTGCAAAAAATATGAATGATCAGACTTCAAAAACTACAGTTTTCAGCGTAAACAAGGAATTTATAGATTCCGCAACATTTTAAAGATTCAGCATTAAATATTATTATTATTCCACGAGAACTAGAGTAAGGATGCAAATCAAGACTCAAATAAGACAACGTTAAAGATGCACATTTTTCTCGCTGTGTCGTTTTAATATGCAGCCAACGTAATTTAGTTGGTTTAAGAATGCTATAAAAGTCACAGTGCACATACGTTTACAGTATGAATATGAACAAATATTGCAGTGCATTTTCTTCTTGAAGATTATTTCAAGTTTTTATTTTAATGAATAAAGATTATGAAAGTTTGATTGTTACTACCGCAAATCTGTTAGCATTGCTAGGTTAGGCTAGGATATCCTTGTTTTATCTTTGTCACAGGTACAGACAATAGCACCTCAAACACTATCTATGCTGAGTTGCACCACCTAACTTTGACCGTAATTACCTAAGTATAACGATAGCCGGTGCTTTTTACATGAAGTTTGACAGATTTTTGACGTTTGTTAAGTCAAAGTAAGATGGTGCAACCCAGCCTTAGATGTAATAAGTGCTATTTTGCAACAAAATGTTTCAGTGTGCCTACCATGAGTTTACGTTAGGTGTGCTCGCTAGCGACTGCGTAAAAAAATGACATTTAAATGTATGACATATTGTGCAGCGCCCCTAGCGGCTACTTTCAAGAAATAAAATCTTCATAAAATTTTTTGACGTATTCGCTAGCGAGCTCACCTAACGTAAACTCATGGTAGGCACACAGTTTAATGTGCTGTCGTCTGTAAGTACATAAAAGTGCTAACCTTTTTATTTTTCTCCTTTTTCTATTCGTTAAAAAACACTCACTCTTTTTTATTTACTTGAAATACTAAGTAGGTACCAATCGAATCAATATACATAATGACAATGCACCCCATTTCTTCTAGATCTTTTGTGAGTAATATAAAACAAACGAATACTATTTTCATTTCATTTATCTTATGCCCCGTTGGTGTTGCTAAAATAGAATGGAACCCTTGCTTGTCCTCTAGACTCGTATATAAATATCAAAGGGTTTCAGGTCGATGTTTCAAAAGAAGCGTTAATTCAAGTCTAAATTCTGACGTTGGACTCAAGTTTGCATACTTATCCTATGAAGCACATCTCTTGATTCGAATTTCAATGCAATCTGTGCTAAAATTCGATTGATGAAACCATGTCATATGCCTAAATTATTTCAAGTTCTAAGATTTTTCGAACTCTGATTAATATCCCTACCTAAATTTGTTCGGTACAAAGAAGTAATTAAAATCTATATCTATCTATCTTCCATGTCCAGTACTAATAGTAATACATATACTATAATCTACGAACGGACGGATTTGTTACCAAGTAATTCACAATTTCTTCTTAACAAATCTGTCACGAGAAAAATACTTTACCACCAAAAACTTTTCTAAAACATAGGTATGAGCAATGATTCATATTTCTGCGAAATGGCGAATGCTTTGCGTCAAATTCAAAGACATAATAATAGATTTAATTGAATTCTACTCGTATTGTTACTTTTCTTTGGAAATATTTACATGGCGAGAACCTTACAACCTATTGAATACATACAAAGTGTTTTACTATACAATTGAAAGCTCAGAATATGAACTAGCATTATTAATACTCATGTAAACAAGCAGTGTCTGTTGAAGAATGGAATCGATTCCATCACTGATTTATTGCCTCTTAATGAAAATAGTTTTCCCCTGTGTTCGTGTAGTGGATAAATAAACGTCCCGAATGTAATCCTTCATGCAAGCAAGTTTTGTCATGTGAATACTTTCGCATTGTGTTTCACATTCAAACCTTGCAAATGAGTATTTGATTTGCGTAGTAACCTGTTTTTAATGAAATAGGCATAATATTACGAGTTTTATGATGAAAAAGATGATTTAAAACTTTTTTCAGACCTATTTTGTTCTCCCTGAACCCTTGCTTCTTTACTGCTTTGAGCTTTTATTTCCATTCTTACTTTGTATTAATAATGTTGCTCAATACAGTTAACGCCACATAAATTAAATAATATTAAAAAGTGTGGTGTGGTGGTATTCAATTTAATATTAAAAAAAAAACCAATATGCTTTCGACTATACTTTGATCAAGTGGATTTTATTTCCGTGCTTTTTTTGTGTTTACATAAATCCAGTCAGATTCGGTTCGTTTTGTACCAACCCTTACCAGTTTAAATCAAAACGATCTCCGCAATCCTCAGGACCCATTAAAAAGTTTTTCCATCGAATTTAAGATGCACATATTTTTAGCACAGCCTTACCAATAGTTGACGTCCACGCAAACTAAGTTGCGGACATAGCTAGTAAATAAATAGGTCAAACTGTTTGTGCATGTATGCGCTAACTTTGTAACAAAGAGCCTTTTGTCTCCTACAAATCTACATACATTACACCCGTATTGGAAATACGAGTTAAAATCAAGTGCACTGTACCGGTGACGGGCAACTTTATACCGCTAGAATGCACTAGTTGCAAAGTTCATCACCATTTCGTGTCGACGGCAATTCCTTTACATGTTAGCGTGTGACCAGGATTTCACCACACTGAGGCGCATACCTACCTTAAAGTTCGATTCATATTTGAGCACAGACTCAAAGTCTACATTAGTTAATTTTTAATATATTATGAACACTTAAGTTTGAATATATTCTTGAATGTAGATTGAGCGTCATTTTATAAAAATAAGTGCTGGTAAAGTTTAATGCTGGTTTTCTATATTCAATCCTAATCCAAATCCGTACGTCAATTGTCTTCCAATATGTTTTTGGTCAAAATATCTGCGATTTCACAGTTGAAATCCGGATTTGGACAAGAATTGAATATGGGAAACGGACGTAAATCGACCAGGCCAATCCAGAAATAATTTGGGGAGGCCTATGTTCAGCAGTGGTCATCTTGTGGCTGAAATGATGATGACGAAACGTTTTAAACTTCTACTCTAAACTACCTAATCTGCGAATTCTTACCTCTTTTCCAAATTTTGTGCATTATCCTATAACTTTTTTAACTTTTGTATAACGTTTGCTATCTTCTATGAGTCATACCAGCAGCAGGTTTGATATTTAAGTAGAAATGGAAATTGTAGGTGGGAAGTACGAGGCATTTCCGACAGACAGCGGGTACAACAAGTACATGATGCTCAAGATAAGGAACATCACTAAAGACGACTTCGGCTTCTACAAGTGCATCGCGAAGAACTCTCTGGGGGAGACCGACGGCATCATAAAACTTGACGGTAAAATGTTTTAGGAATTTTTTACCTTAAACAGCCGATTATAAGGTTAAGTTTCCTAGTGTTTTTGGTTGTTATAAGTCTTTAATTATTGAACTTGGTGTTTCCAAAAAGTTAAGTTTACTGAAAAGAGAGTATATCTGAACTTTTTTCGGAATATTAACAGCACCAAACAAATTCTAATAGTTTTTACGAATCAACTGAAATCACAACTTGGCAATAATATAGCCTACTCGTGCGTACTTGACGAGGTAATTTTAGACTAATTTAACCTGGATTTAATGAAGCTAATAATAAAATGAATATTCATATTCCAAAGCGAAATTAATGATGAAATGAACCCGTACAAACAGCTACAATACTACGTTTATTTCTAGAAATACCTGCTCCACCGTCTGCCCTGACCACAACACAGAAATCTATATTAGACAACCAGACGATCAGAAAAAAAGGTACGTAGAATAAATTAATTAATTAATTTCAACATTAATTAAAATTCGCAGAATTCTTCAGATTTGGTTGGATTAGTTTAAAAGAGCATTAATAAAACAGACCTTTTTATGGCTTCTATTTGGAGCTCAATTATAATTATAATATTCTCAATCTAAAAGGGCGATTTGCAGAATTAAATCTTTTTTCTTTTTGTTTTAAAACAGATAAATACCCCGCCGTGCAAAGAAATGACGTCATCAGTTCAAATTTCCAAGGTGGAGCTTACGTTGAGCAAATGAAAGACTATGGTAATTTGAAAAAACTTTTTAAAATAGGTAAATAACTTTTTCAAATTTCAGTTTTTTTGCAGTCTGTACTTACTACTTTTCGTAGCAAAGCTTCAGTGTACCTACCATGAGTTTACGTTAGGTGTGCTCGCTAGCGAAAACGTCAAAAATCTCTATGGAGATTTTGTTTCTTGAAAGTAGCCGCTAGGGGCGCTGCACAATATGTTATACAATTTATTAATGTCATTTTTTTACGCAGTCGCTAGCGAGCACACGTAACGTAAACTCATGGTAAGCACACAGGTTAAAACAGTCTTGAACTGGGTTTTGAACCAATACTTAAGTTTGATAATCTTTAAACTTTTGTTTTAATTGATTTTTCATGCCATTCTAAACCATAACCAAAGGTTACATCTATAGAGTTGACATTCATTGTTTCTATTTCAGAATTCGGCGAGGAGAACTCAGCTTCCCCAAAACAATTGAGTCACATTTTATTTTTCGTATTACTTTGTCATATAATAAATCTAGCAAGATACAGTTTAAGGTCCTGATTACCTCGATCCAAATAATTCAGTTTACTTTCTTGTTAATATAAGACAATAATGGTAAATTTTTCGCATAATTTACTCAAATAACATAAACCAAAGTTTTTTGTAATACATACTGTCGAAAATGTATGTTTTGTAATGATTTTAGTAGCTCTAATTAATAACAAGGTGTAAGGACATGTAAAAATGCTTAGATTAAAATAGAGATAGACCTCTGAAATCTGTCCACATCGTTTTAAAATAGTGGCTACTCTTTTAGGCTCTTATTTTATAACAATTTAGGGTTGATGTTTTGCTAAATTCATGAGTTATTTGGATGCAACATGCTCTTAGTGCTTGTCTAGAAAAATACACTCGAGTGCGGCAAATTCAGGTCGATATGTTGAATACTGAATGAAAGAAATACCAGTAACGTCAGCAAGGAAAGTGGGTAACACACAAATGTATTCATAGTAACATAAAAGTAAGTAACATTATGCAATTTCAAATTTCTATCTTCAATGTTTCCTAAATACTTTTATTCCTTGAATTTATCGCTCTAGAGTGTATTGTGTAAATTATAATGTTCCTTGCTTTATGAATTAATTTTAAATCCTTGTAAATTACGTGTAAATGATAATTTAATTTGCTGTAAATGTTAGAATTTTTAGGGTACCACTAGTCCAATAAGCAATTAGGCCATTTTGTAATACAATTCAAATATTTCTACCATTGCTACAAATGGGAACTGCCAAATAAATGTGTACATTGAAATAAATTAAAGCTTAACATACATAGTTGTTTCATTTCCATGAGATATTATACATTGTATTTTATTAGGTTTTTAAATTAAAATAAAAAGGTTTCTACTCATAACCACTAGGTACTACCTTTCCCTTATGGGAATGGAACGAAAAGGGAAAACTTACCATACACACTCTTTTTGTATAAAAATGTAATTGGTGTAAAAACCTATTCAAACTGAACATCCTGTATAGATCATTGAAACATTTTAAGATTGGTGAATACAATTATCATACTTTTTCCATATTAATATCGAAATTGTTAAAAGATAACTCTTTTCCATATTATCCTGCCGACCTCGTAGATGCATTAAGCAGCTCAACTTTTTATTATGTTTTCGATGGATCCGTATTAAAAGCTTTTAATATAATAATGAGAATATGTTTTCATGGAACAGACGAGCAGGTTAACACAATATTAAATTGCTTATTTGCTTCCACTTGTACATACATTCGAAGAATATGTATTCGAATAAAGCTGATTTTCATAACTTTCATTAGGATATCGGCCCAGGAAGTGAGAGACTAGCGTATAACATCATTGGGTACGTGGGATATTGAATAATTGTAAATATTTTTTCAAAATTTTGTAACATCTTTATATACCATGTTTTTACGTAAATAAAATTCTGATTCTGATTAACTTTTTTAGTTCAGCAAAGGTAAACAATCAGTAGTTTCAAATAGTCAAATTTTCAGGCTAATTGGTGTTAAAAAATATCAACACAGAATAGTAGTTTCATTAATATTTATGTAGTTCTAATCTCTAAAGTAGATTCTCTTAATTTGGGGCTGAGTGAGTAATGGTTGAAACAACTTATTTATTTTATTTATTTACAAGATCATTCCAACTTTTCGTATCCAAGGGATCCTACTAAATTCCCATGGACTCTAACGGGAGTCTACCGCTACTGTCATTAATACGTAATATAACAATCCTGGTGCACTGCCCTTTGCTTTCTGAAAGAATCGATAGTCGATACCTTACTTAGTAATTTACTGCATTCCACTTTCATGCTGGTGAATTTCCAATCGCTTTGGGCAAAGGTGGCAATCTCTACAAAAGCGGGGAGAAATCGACAACCATTTTTAACCCGTGTGAAATGGTTCGGACTTTATATTGGATTACTGTAAGTCCCAATGTTTGTTGAACGTCTTATGTAAACTAAAGACTAATGTTTAGCCTTACATGCTTGAAGGTAAACCAGAATAATAAAGTGTGCTTTGAGTCACAAAACTAACAATAATAAATTACATACAGCGTTATAACTCCGTTATGCGACAGTACTTGATCACTGTGACAACTGGCTATGTGTTTCAGAGATGGATGTACAGACAAAAGCACATCAGAGTAATAATACTTTTTTGTTCCAAAACACCATCATATAAGATGAAACGGTATTTAACATTTAGCTTAATGTTAAACCTAACCAACCTAAATATTGGAAACGAAGATATTGAGTTCGTTCGTTCGTTTCTGCCGAAAGACGTCCACTGCTGGACAAAGGCCTCCCCCAAGGTTTTCCACAAAGAACGGTCTTGCGCCGCCCGCATCCAGGCAAATCCAGGCACCGACCTTCACCAGATCGTCGGACCAACTAGTAGGAGGCTTCCGACTCGTGGTCGCCACTCGACAACTTTTCTGCCCCAGTGGCCATCAGTTCTACGAGCTATGTGCTCCGCTCACTGCCCACAAAGATATTGAGTATTTTTTTCCTAAGCCATTTTCTTTAAAATAAGCTTTAATTTATTGTAACCATAGGTAATTAGTAGTTGGATAAAGGTAGCTTTTTTTCTTAATCGTCTTTGTGTCTGATAATCACTTACCTACTTACTTCATCATTTCAGTGACGTATTACAAGCACATGACTTCCTCCTATTTCAATACTGCGAATAGGTACAGGATAATACATTCGTAATTGTTTTTAATGGATTCAATAACTTCAATACCAAAGAATTATTCCGTTCACAGTGAACATACTTTATCGGTATTGGTAATTTATCTAGTAATTCATAACTTTATTTGCGACATCTACTGATATTGAGAATTAGTAAGACCCTTATTAACATTCTGTATCGCAAAATGGGTGGATATTCTCAAGGCAATGAAAAAATATGCAATAATAAATTTTGATTTCAATATTTTAAACAAAGACGAATGTCCTATCCCTTACGCACCTATTGTGATGTTTAGATGAAAAAACAGGCTAGCTAGCACGCCCCAGAGCAAGGTCACGCCACACACAAAAAATAAACAATTGTCAATGTAAGATGTAAGTCAGAGTGCGTGACGTCATCTGAATTGTTATCGGTGTGATGTTTAATTTTAGATAGACACCGGTTTTCTAGTGTAGTATTTCGTTAATAATAGGGCAAGCTTGAGTTTAAGCCAAGTTTTAACAACGTTTCCTCATACGGGCCAATGCAGTACGAACGGTATGAATAATAATACGCATTTAAACGGCGTGATTTACCTCAGTCAATATAACTACAGTTGCCTAGCTTCACACTTATTTACAGTCACAACTTTCCTGTGTATGGCAGACTATTATTGAACAGTTCATAGTGCACTCTTGTTTACTTGTTTTTCATTTAATCAGAGGCAATAATGTTTAACAACAAAAAATACGTATTTGGTGATCAAAATGTCAAGGTTCCTGCTCATTTGAATTTCGGCAAATACATATTGGATCAACTTCGCCTTAGGAAAAATGAAGTGGCTTTGGTAAGTAACGGAACTGCGTACAGTTTAACATAAATGTGTAAAGTTAAAATAAATATAAAGAGACTTCCAGGCACCAATAAAATCAATTTATTTGAACTTTGAGCTATCCTATATATACAGTGTGAGTCACGTTAAAGTGTACATATGAAAATAGATGAAACTAGACCTATTTATATCGACAGAAAAGAGGTAAAAAAATTTTGGAGATTTTTTTTTAATTTTTTATAGAATTTTTTTTCTTCAAATTACTTATTGTAAAGAAAACGTAATAACTTTTAAACTAAGCGGTATATCCTGATAAAATAAAAACAGTAATAATGCTAAATAACAGGCGATCCTAAAAAAATACATAAAATACACAAAAAGGGCCAACAAATAATAAAAAATGATACTTTTTGAAAAAAATCTGCTCTTAAATTCGTGTTTTTTTGATTATTTGATAAATTTCTCCAAAAAATGCCCCTATAACCGGTGGTTTTTATTACGTTGTGTTATTTTCTATCGTATTACCTTTGTTAAACCAAAAATCGCATGTCTCTATCCCTATCACAACATTTGCTATGATCGTTTGAACAAAGGCCTGCCACAACATTATTCTCCGCTACAGATAGAGACAATTTAAATTTTAACTAAAATGCTTATTTTACTTCAAAATCTTTTGTTTTTATTTGAAATCTAACTTGTCTTTATCAAAATTACAAATCTAGAGCCATTTTCAGTTTCATTGTTAATGATGCATTGAATGGCGCGCCCGGAGAGGCTTAGTTCAAACGATCATTGCAAACGTTGTGATAGGGATAGAGACATGCGATTTTTGGTTTTACGAAGGTAATACGATAGAAAATAATACAACGTAATAAAAACCACCGGTTATAGGGGCATTTTTTGGAGAAATTTATCAAATAACCAAAAAAACACGAATTTTAAAGCAGATTTTTTAAAAAAAGTATCATTTTTTATTATTTGTTGGCCTTTTTTGTGTATTTTATGTATTTTTTTAGTATTGCCTGTTATTAAGCATTATTACTGTTTTTATTTTATCAGGATATACCGCTTAGTTTAAAAGTTATTACGTTTTCTTTACAATAAGTAATTCGAAGAAAAAAAATTCTATAAAAAAATAAATAAAAAAATAAAAATTTTTTGACCTCTTTTTTGTCGATAAAAATAGGTCTAGTTTCATCTGTTTTCATATGTACACTTTAACGTGACTCACACTGTATATAAGAAATTAATTAATTGCATGAAAAATTATACAATTCGAGGAAATAATACTCGTAGTGTATTGGTTTGAATCTCAGTAGATCTACTATGAGCACATTCACCCTGCTGCAAAAATATTAGATAACATTAATTATTGAATAAATGGCAATGCCAGATTTTGTATGGAAGGTGGCGTCTTTTTTTTTTCGCGCAGCCATCGANGGTGAACCAGGCATTAATTCGATGTCTCTACATAAACGAGTTAAAAACGATAAAAACATCGAGTGCTTTTCGCCTTGTTTGTTCATTTGCGAATAGAAACCTTCTGGATCGATCTAGTGGGACCTATAGACCGTTAGTTCAAATAGAGAGTTAGATCGTATTTAGACTAAAACTATACAGGATGTTAGGTAAATGGGTTTATACAAATCGGATTTTATAAAATTTATTTTGTATGAAAATTTAAAAAATTAAAATGATTATATCAAATTTCTGACTTCACCATACCATTTATATGCCCATGTTAACATGGGCTAGTGTCGGCTCATATACCCATTTACCTAACACCATGTATATATGGTCCTTTATTCGGATTATGCCGCGATATACTTACCTTTAAAAACCGCAGTAGAAATCTGTCTGCGTGTCATTCAAATTTTCTATTTTCAAGTGTGAATGAAAAATTGAATAAATAATATGAGCACGGTATGTAAAGTGCGGTTTTACTTCGAATTAGGCATTGGAAATTTCGTAATACGACCTTATTCACTTTCCACGAAGTAATGCCTTAAGTTATGACGTGTTTGATATTGGTAAATTTGATAAATCAGAAATNAATAGTAAGTTTGGTTTATTATACTATTTTGTAATAAAAAAACAAGGTTTGGTCGATGGCCGCGCGAAAAAAAAAAGACGCCAATTTCCGGCATTGTCTTTTAAGTAGGTGTAAGCATTGGGGGAGGCCTATGTCCAGCAGTGGACGTCCTATGGCTGAGATGATGATGATGATGATGATGATGATGATGATGATGATGATG